TCTCTAGGGTCTCTCTACTAGTCCTGGCTGTTCTCATACTTGCTGTTTAGATCACACTGGCCTTGAACTAAAGAGACCACCCTGCCTCTGACTCCCAAGTACTGGGATTAAAGGTGTGAGCTACTACACCCAACCTTATTTTTTGTAATATGAGGTCTTGATAAAGTGGCCAAACTGGTCCCAACTCAGAATCCTCCTGAGTAGCTGGGATTGATAAGCGCCAGCATGCCTGGCTGTATCACATCTCCAAGATTAGGAGAAAAGTCTCTGGCGTAAACACAGTGGAGAGCACTGAAGGCAACTGCTGGCTGTCCTATACTGAGTTCCTGGCTTTTCATTTGACTCTTCACCTCCCCCTTCCCTCTGGGTACTCTTTTCCTCTATCAATTATAATCACAGGTAAAGTCCTGCTGAGGATCTAAAACACCTGAACCCGTCATCCTCTCAAAATATTTGCTTTTGAAACCTATTTTATTTAAGGATACACTGTTTATTTTTCATTTCGAATTACATTTAGAATGGAGAAGATTTGTGTGTGTGTATGTGTGTGCGCGCGCACAACAACCTTGGCTGTTTGAGTGCTATCCATTTTGTTTTTCAAGAAAGGATCACTAACTGACCAAGAGCTTGCTGAGGAGGCTGGTCTGGTTGGCCAATGAGCCTCAGGGATACCAGTCTGCACTCTCTAGTGCTGGGATCACAAGTACACCAGGCATCCAGCTTTCTTCAGCACGAGTTCTGGGACCCATCCTCGGGTTCTCAAGCACTTTATTGGCTGAGCTGTCTCCAAGTCCCACAAGATCTTCCTCATAAAACACAGTGAGAAATGTCAGAAGTTCCCTACTTACCTAGAAAATTCTGAAAGTTTTTACTGGCTTGGCACTTGGAAGACTTTTGTAATATTATTTCAATCTGTTTTAAATTGTTTTTCTAAGTATCTCTGAAAACTAATAACTACTCTGGTGGTATTAGTCTAAGTCTGTTGTCCCTCCTTTGAAAATATCATGGAGTGGGGGCAGTGAGGAGGGAGGGAGAGGCTGGAAACATGGGTCAGCCGTTCAGAGCACTAGCTACTCTTCGAGTACCTGAGTTTGGTTCCTAGCACGCACATTGGGAGGCTCACAATCACCTACAGTTCCAGAATATGACTCCCTCTTCTGGCTTTCTCAGAAACTCAAACACATCTGGAATATACTCACATGCACACTAAAAAAAACGCAGTACTCCTATCTTTATGTTTCTGTACTATCCTAAAAACAATTCTCTTGTCTCTGGGCCAATTTAAACTGTACTGGTTTCTAAGGACCGTCTCAAATCTAGACCTCTGCCATGAGGCAATCTCTAATTACTCCAGTCCTGAAATTGCTCACTTTTTAAAAAAACTTTATGTATATAAATATTTTTGCCTGCATGTATTTCTATGTACTATTTGTATGCCTGATGCCTGTGGAGGTCAGAAGAAGGTATCAGATCCCCCTGGAACTGGAGATATAAATGGTTGTTAGTTACCTTGTGGATGCTGCGTAATCAAACTCAGATCCCCTGGAAAAGCAGCCCCAGATCTCTCACTCTTATGATGCGGTTGTATATACCTAAAATATTAAAACTTGAGAGACAAGGAAGATAGACCTCAAGAATGAGTTTAACCTGGGGCTACATGGCAAATCCCTGCCTTAAAATACAAAACAGCCAGGTTAGGTGGTGCACACCTTTACTCCCAGCACTCCAGAGGCAGAGAGGTGAGTTTGAAACAGCCTGGTACAGAGCAAGCTCCAGGGAGAGACCCTGTCTCAGAAAAACAAAAACAAAATAAAACAAAGGGCAGACAAGATGGCTCAGTGGGTAAAGATATCATCTTGTTAAGCTTAATTCAATCCCTGTAATCCATGATAGGAGAGTCAACTTAAGTTGTCCTCTGGCCTCCACATGGAATCTTGGCATTGGTGCATCCACACACACACTAAACAAATGAATGCAATTTTTAAAAAATCCTATGGTAGAGTGCTAAAGGGATGCTCAGTGGTTAAGAGCGTGTGCCACTCCTCCTGAGGACCCTAGCCTGGTTCCCAGCATCCATGTCAGGTGGCTAAAACACCTGTAATTCTAGCTCCAGGGGATCCAGTGCTCTCCTGTGAACAAACGCACAAACAGATACATATAACTAAATATGGAAAATAATCTTTTAAAAAATCTTTTATGTGCATCATTTGTGTCATGTACTTTACTATCTTCTATTTTTAAAGTTTTATGTGCAATTATTCTCTTCACCAACAGACAATACATGTGCTAATGCCCCATATACTCTCCTAACAGAGATATGTATATAGCACAAATTCTAATACATATTTCCATGACTTTTGAGAATGATGATAATTCACTTATAATAGACTTTCTCTCTTTCCTCCTGGCTTTATAATCCGTGGAAAAGAGCAGTAAAAGCAGAGTGAACCAGCCGGGCGGTGGTGGCGCTCTCCTTTAATCCCAGCACTTGGGAGGCAGAGGCAGGCAGATCTCTGTGAGTTCAAGGCCAGCCTGGTCTACAGAGCGAGATCCAAGACAGCCAGGACTACACAGAGAAACCTTGTCTCGAAAAACAAACAAACAAAGAGCAGAATGAACCAAGTGACAGTCAGCTATTTCCCTATTGGGGGGAAAAAGATGTCCCTGGAGAACTTTTCAATCACTCCAAAATTGTGTTAAATTTATTAAAAATTTTCCAGGGGGGCTGGCAACACACACATACACATGCATGCACGCACACAAAAAGAGAAGTGTCTATGGCCAGCAAGATGGCTAAAGGTAAAGGCACTGAGACTAAGTCTAATGACTTGAGTTCAATTTCCAGAATCCACATGGTAGAGAGAACAAACTTCTACAAGTTGTCCTCTGACCTCCACACATGTTCTGTGGCATATCCCCCCCAACCCCCACATACTCCAAATGTAGCAAGGGAGGGGTGGGCTACAGAGATGGCTGAGCTGTTAAGAGCACTGGCTACTCTTCTGGGTTCAATTCCAGCACCCATAATGGTGGCTCACAACTGTCTATAACTCCAATTCCATGGGATCTGATCCCCTCTTCTGGCCTTGTGGAGCACAGACATACACAAAGGCAAAACATTCATACACATAACATTTCAAAGGGACAGAGCACTTGCCTAGCATATGCTAGGCTCTGGATTTGATCCATAAACAAAGTGGGGGGACAAAAAGAAAAAAATTATTATCAGAATTTTCAGCTGGGGCTATAGCTCAGTTGGTAGAGTACTTACCCATTATGCACCGAGCCCTAGGTTTGATCTTTAGCACTGAATAAAGCAGGATGTGATGGAGCATACCATAACCCACATCTTGGGAAGCTGATGTTCAAGGGTAACTCTTGGCTACTTAGTGAACTGGAAGCTAGACTACACTACATGAGGCTCAAAAAAGGGGCAAGAGGGGGAGTTGGGAGGTGGTGGCGCACGCCTTTAATCCCAGCACTCGGGAGGCAGAGGCAGGCAGATCTCTGTGAGTTCAAGGCCAGCCTGGTCTACAGAGCGAGATCCAGGACAGGCACCAAAACTACACAGAGAAACCCTGTCTGGGGGGGGGGGGGGGCGGCGGGGATTTGAAAACAAAACAGGCATGGTGGTGGCTCAGTGGTTAAGAACACTTACTACTCTTACAGAGGAGCCAGGTTCAGTTCCTGGCACTCACGTGAGCTCACAACTACCTATCACTCCAATTCCAGGGCATCTAATGCCCTCTTATAGCTCTCCTGGGTACCAGGCATACATGTGATGCACATACATACATGCAGGCAAAATACTAGTCATATACATAAAATAAAAATAAATAATTTCCAAAAATTTCCCTCAAGTACTCAGACTAGGATCAAGAAATATAGACATTAACCAACCTCACTTAAAATTAGCCTCAAAGGTCCTTCATTTTCTTTCAACCTTACATGAAATTTCTCTCTCCAATAAATATTTCCAAAAAAATTTATCCTTTTCAAGGAATTCTACGCTAATCAGAAGAGCTGAAAACACACATATCCTAACAGTGTTAAATATGGAGGGACTGTCCATATTTAACAATCCTGATAACCATTAACGGTACTAACAGTTGAAAATATTTGTTCATTTACACATTGGCTTACTACACCTACCTAACGTCCACCATCACACATACACACTGCCTTGAAAATCCTAATTTTTGCTAGGCACTCAGGAGGCTAAGGTAGGTGGGTATGTGTATGAGACCAGCCTTGTCTATATTAGTGAGTTTCTGGACAGCTAGGGCTACATATCAAGACCTATCATAAAAAACAAAACAAAATTAAAATCTTTCCAAAAGACAAAGGCTGTATTTATAGTCTTTTTACTTGAGATAATAGGAAAAATGAGGTACCTAATATTACTATCATGTAAAAAAAATTAATCTTGCTTGAACCAATTAAACAAATTAGGTTAAGCTCTTTATAATATGTTCACAAAACAGTGCTTTGCCTTTAATAGCATTAAATAACTGTGATTATATAATGATTTTATCAATACCCATCTACTTACTAGACTGTAAATTTCCTTAGAGCAGACATCTTTTTTTCTAGTATATCCTGGGGTCTAGCATATGCCTGGTATACAACAGGCAGGTAATAAAAAGAAGTGTTGAATAATAAACAGTAGATGTCAAATCCAAGAGTGGTGGTGACTAGATGTATGCATACAACAAAGAGATGAAAGTAAGTTGTGACTGTTGCTAAATTTGGAGGTATATAAAAGACTGAAAAGGTACAGAGAAAAATCATACTAACTGTTAAGACACCTAGTAGTTAACATGTAAGTAAAATCACATTTCAAAAAAAGACATCATTTCTCTAAAAACAGACGTCAAAGATCAGCTTTACAGAACTCTCCTCAGGCTTTCATGGAGGCTTATCATGAAAGGAGGCATCACTACCTCCCCCACCAACTACGCAGGATGGACAAACAGCGCAGTGGGGAGGGAGATACGTACTGGGCGAGTGTCTGCTGAGCTCCAGCTCTGGTCTCTCCAGGCTGCTCTGAAAGTCAGGAGGCAGCAGGGAAGCCACTCCCTCAGGATGGATCATCTCGTCCTCCGACTCAGCTGAAGCTTCTGCAAAGTACACAGTGGGTCGGGGCAGGGAGGGAGTGAAGGGCTCAGCATGTGGGATATGTAGGCGTGAAGGACGGCAGGCAAAGTTATAGATACAGACACACACACCAAAGAGTACTGAACAAAAAGAAAACACCTCCCTAGTGCTAAGCTCTACCTCACTGACATGGTGCATGACTTCTTTCCACCTCCTCTTCTATTCAGTCCAACTGAGCATCTCTTTCCCTGACATAGTCTGACTGTAACTCATCTGGCATCACAAAACACTGAAAGCAGATGAGCAGCAGTCTCACCTGACTTACTCCTGCCATTAGTTAGACCCATCTACCTGTGACAGAGACCAAAGACCTGTTAGAAGTGACAGCGGGCTTACCTTCAAGCTCTGCAGCCTCTCGAGCTTCCCGTTCTAGACGCTGTCTCAGAAGCTCCTGCTGCTTTTCCAGGTACTGCTTTATGAAACTGTTCTGGCTCATTTCCTCCCCAATCTGTGTAGAGGAGATGGGATAAGAGCGTCTAAGGAGGCAGCTATTAGGTGACTAGGAAGGTCTGAGTGCAGGTAACAGATACCTGAGTCATGAAATAAGAGGCTAAGCTAATTGTTTTTCTAGTTCCAATCCTGCCATAGGTTCTTAGTTTTATTCTTTTGTTTTTGTCATGGATAAGTACATAAAAATATATTTAGACAGACAAAGCCTAAAATCCAATGTGAAGCTCCATAGCTTAGGAATGGCTATTCTAAATGCAGAGAAGCATGTACTCATGGCGATGTACATACTTTGAGTCTGGTTAAATTAGCTTCATAATATTTTTATAATGAATTTTGTTCTAATGAATGAAAACTTTTTAAAATTTACTTTATGTGTATGGGTGTTTTGGCTGTTTGTGTACAGTCTGTGCAGCACATGTGTAAAGTGCCCAAGGAGTTCAGAGGAGGGCATCGATGCCCTAGGTTTGGATACAAGCATCTAACTCTGAGCTGTCTCACGGATACTGAGAATCAAACCTGGGACTTCTGGAAGAACAGCCAGTACTCTTAATTACTGAACCATTGCTCTAACCGAACCTGCCCCACCCTCCTTTAAAAAAAAAAAAAAAAGAATGCTTTAAAAATTCTTATCACAAATTTAAGTTTTAAGTAATTGTAGGAATGGGAGAGATGGCTCAGTGGTTAAGAACACTGGTTACCCTTCCAGAGGACCTGGGTTCAATTCCAGCATCCATATGGCAGCTTAAAAAGGTCTGTAACTCAGCTGGGCGGTGGTGGCGCACGCCTTTAATCCCAGCACAGAGCCAGGCGGATCTCTGTGAGTTTGAGGTCAGCCTGGGCTACAGAGTGAGTTCCAGGACAGGCTCCAAAGCTACACAGAGAAACCCTATCTCAGAAAACCAAAAAAAAAAAAAAAAAAAAAAGAAAAAAGAAAAGAAAAAGGTCTGTAACTCTAGTCCCAGGGGATCCCACACCCTCACAAAGCCACATTCAGGCAAAACACCAATGCACATAAAATAAAAATAAATCACTAAAAAAAATTTACTCCTTAAAAAAAGATTTAAAAGAACTAAAAATAGGGCTGGAGAGATAGCTCAGAGGTTAAGAGCACTGGCTGCTCTTCCAGAGGTCATGAGTTCAATTCCCAGCAACCACGTGGTGGCTCACAACCATTTGTAATGAGATCTGGTGCCCTCTTCTGGACTGCAGGCAGAACACTCTGTGCATAATAAATAGATAAATCTTTAAAAAAAAAAAAAAAAAAAGAAAGAAAGAAAAAAAACTAAAAATAAAGCCAGGCAGTGGTGCCACATGCCTTTAATCCCAGTACCTGGGAGGCATAGGCAGAAGGATCTCTGTGAGTTCAAAGCCAGCCCGGTCTAGAGAGAACAGCCAAAGCCACTCAAAGAAACCCTGTCTCAAAAGACAAAAACAAAATAAATAAAGATAATTATGAAACATTCTACTAAAAGCAACAAAGGCAAATTACCTTATAAAAAAAAACCATGAATTTAAGTAATTTCTATAAGCAATAAAAATCTGACAGTTTCTAAACATGTAAGAATTTATTTTTATCTTATGTGCATTGGTGTTTTGCCTGCATGTATGTCTGTGTGAGGGTGTCACATCTGGGAGTTACAGACAGTTGGGAGCTACCATGTGGTTGCTGGGAATTGAACCCAGGTCCTCTGGCAGAACAGCCAGTGCTCTTAACCACTGAGCCATCTCTCCAGCCCCCAAGATTTTTCTCTTTTAGTTAGAGATTTAAAAAAAAGAAAACAGCCGGGCGGTGGTGGCGCACGCCTTTAATCCCAGCATTCGGGAGGCAGAGGCAGGCGGATCTCTGTGAGTTCGAGGCCAGCCTGGTCTCCAAAGCGAGTACCAGGAAAGGCGCAAAGCTACACAGAGAAACCCTGTCTCGAAAAACCAAAAAAAATTTAAAAAAAAATAAATAAATAAAAAATAAAAAAAAGAAAACAGAGAGCTAGAGAGATGACTCAGCGGTTAAGACAACTGATTACTCTTCCAGAGGACCTGGGTTCAATTCCCAGCACCCACATGGCAGCTAACAATTGTCTATAACGCCAAGATCTGACACCCTCACATAGACATAAATGCAGGCAAAACACCAATGCTAATAAAATAAAAATAATTTAAGAAAAAAAAAGGAAAGAAGGGCCGGGCGGTGGTGGCGCACGCCTTTAATCCCAGCACTCGGGAGGCAGAGCCAGGCGGATCTCTGTGAGTTCGAGGCCAGCCTGGGCTACCAAGTGAGTTCCAGGAGAAGGCACAAAGCTACACAGAGAAACCCTGTCTCGAAAAACCAAAAAAAAAAAAGAAAAAAAAAAAAAAAGGAAAGAAAACAGTCTAAGTAAGTATACCAGGGAAATGCAAAGAAATTCCACAAAGCAAGTCTACTCCATGTATCTGGGATCCAAGAAACAGAACTCTCAGAAGGCTCTCATTTTCTTTCTTCTTTTAGATTTTTCAAGACAGGGTTTCTCTGTGTAGCCCTGGCTGTCCTCTAACTCACTATGTAGTCCACGCTGGCCTTGAACTCAGAGATCACCTGCCTCTGCCTTCTGAGTGCTGAGAATAAAGGCAGGAGCCATTACCGTCTGGCTAGAGGCTTTTTCTTTTTTTGGTTTTCTGAAACAGGGTTTCTCAGTGTAGTTTTGGTGCCTGTCCTGGATCTCGCTCTGTAGACCAGGCTGGCCTTGAACTCACAGAGATGCACCTGGCTCTGCCTCCTGAGAGTTGGGACTAAAGACGTGCGCCACCACCACCCAGCTGGAAGGCTTTTTCTATTAAAGATAAGAATAAACAGCACTATGGCAAAAAAAGAAAACTACGTTAAAATTTTATTTAAAATTTTCAGTCCAAAGAGTGATGTTAATGCACAAATAACTTAAAAAGAAGAATTCTAGGGACTATGCTTCTTCTGGAAACAAGGTGACTGGCTTTAAACTTGAAATCCTTAGGCATCAGCACCCTCAGTTTGAGTAGTATAGGTGATAGGTGTACTACCACAATGTAGCCTGCTGGTGGTGCCCCCCACCCTGTGTGTGTGTGTGTGTGTGTGTGTGTGCGCGCGCGCGCGCGCGCGCGCGCGCACATTAGGGATCATACCTAGAGCTCTACCAGTAATCTATATCCTCAGCCTGAATTTTACCTTTTCATCTAAACTTTTATATAAACTAGAATTTACCTAAAAATAATCTACTATTTATCTTAAAACTGAGAAGAGTAGGCATGATGCATATCTTTAATCCCAGCACTCGAAAGGCAGAAGCAGGCTGATCTCTGTGAGTTTCAGGCCAGGCTGGAGACAGAGCTCAGCAGTTAGAAGCTACTGTTGCCCTTGCAGAGGACCCAGCTTTGGTTCCCAGAACCCACACTGCAGCTCACAACCACCTGTAACTCCAGTTCCAGGGGACCTGACTCTCTCCTCTCACCTCTACAAGCACCAGGCACAAATAATGCACATGCATACAAACAAAATAAAAACTTTCTACAGAGTGAGTTCCAGGAAGTCAGGGCTGTTACACAGAGAAACCTTGTCTTGAAAAACCAAAATAAATAAATCAATCAATCTCAAACAAATTTTAAAAAAATAAGTAAATCTGAAAAGAAAAAAGTCCTAGTCCAAAAGATCAAGCTCCACCAACCCAGGAAAACATTTTGTCATATATCTCAAAAGTTCAAGTGTAGGGCTGGAGAGATGGCTCAGAAGTTTGCACTGGCTGCTCTTGCAGAGGACCTGGGTTCAAATCCTAGTGCATGGTGGCTCACAACCATCTGTAACTACAGTTCTGGTCTCCAATGTCCTCTTCTGACCCCCGACAACACCAGGCATGGACATGGTGCACATACACAAATGGAGGCATAACACTCATACACACAAAATATAAAAAAAAAAAATAATATTTCAATGAGTGAAATTAAGAGACCAAGGAAAGGAATATACACTCACTACTTGAGACACTTGCAACCCCACTTCCACAGAAAGGGGAGTGCATATATAGCTTCTATCTGTAATCGTACCACAAGAGAAGCTGAGGCTGGAGAACTGCCATAGTTTGAGGCCAGTCTGGGCTACAGAGTAAGTCCCAGCCTCAAAAACTCCAACGCAACCAACAGCTTTGTTTTGAGTAAAAAGAAGCCTTTGGCACACCATGCATTGTAGCGCACACCTTTAATCCCAGCACTAGGGGGGGCAGAGGCAGGTGGATCTTTGGGAATTCCAGAGTAGCCAGGGCTATGTAGAGACCCTGTTTCAAAACAAAAAAACATCCATGCCCCGCTCCCAAAAAAAGGGCTAGCCAGCCCAGGGTTAATCCTTTTCCCCCTTTCTGTAACACTACCAATCATTCTTGCTGTCCTTCAGTCTTCTCTTCACAAGTTCCCCTCCAGTCCTTCTTACCTGTCTACAGACCTCCAAAAAACCAAGTCAACCCCAATACTTCCTATGTTTTCTGTCATGTTTTCTAACACTAAATACTTATTTTCACCTAAAGTAAAGGAGTCTCTCAGTACTCAATGGACATCGATGAACTGTGGGTTCCAAGTATAAGAAAACAATAATGTTTGCTGCAAAATCTTTGTTAATAAAAGTAAGGCTTCGGGGCTGGAGATATGGCTCAGAGGTTAAGAGCACCGGCTGCTCTTCCAGAGGTCCTGAGTTCAATTCCCAGCAACCACATGGTGGCTCACAACCATCTGTAATGAGATCTGGTGCCCTCTTCTGGCCTGCAGGCATACATGCAGGCAGAACACTGTATACATAATAAATTAAAAAAAAAAAAAGGCTTCAAAGTCTAAAATGCAATGATCCAAAATTACATCTGTGAATTGACTATTTTAAGTAGTTTCTTTTTTAAATTATTTTTTTTTAAGATTTATTTATTCTCATATATTTTACATGTATGACTGTTTTAACTGCATGGATGTACGTGCATCATATGTGTGCTTAGTGTTCAAAGCCAGAAGAGGATATGGGATGCCCTGGAACTGGAGTTATGGATAGCTCTGAGCCCGCCATGTGGGTGCCGGGAATAGAACCTGGCTCCTCTAAAGAGCAACAAGTACTCTTAACTACTGAGCCATCTCTTCATTTTTTTTTTTTTTTTTTTGGTTTTTCGAGACAGGGTTTCTCTGTGTAGCTTTGCGCCTGTCCTGGAACTCACTTGGTAGCCCAGGCTGGCCTCGAACTCACAGAGATCCGCCTGGCTCTGCCTCCCGAGTGCTGGGATTAAAGGCGTGCGCCACCACCGCCCGGCGAGCCATCTCTTCATTTATGTGTGTATGTACATGTACCTTTTTTTAAAAAAAGATTTATTTATTTATTATGTATACAGTGTTCTGCCTGCATGAGTCCCTGCTAACCAGAAGAGGGCGCCAGATCTCATTACAGATGGTTGTTAGCCACCATATGGTTGCTGGGAATTGAACTCAGGACTTCTGGAAGAGTAGCCAGTGCTCTTAACCACTAAGTCATCTCTCCAGCCCTGTGTGTATGTACATGTACCTTTGTGTGTGTGTCTGTGTCCGTCCGTCCGTCCGTCCGTCCGTCCGTCCGTCCTTGGAGGCCCGAAGAGGACATTAGATCCCTTGGAACTGGAGTTACAGATGTTTCGAGCCGCCCAACGTAGGTGCTGGGATCTGAACTCCAGTTTGAGTCACTGAGTGACAACCACTCTTGACTAGTGAGCTACCTCTCTAGGCCCTTAGGTATTTTTTTTTTTTTTTAAATGCTTGTTAACCTCAGAAAGCTTAGTATTAACAGGGGAACAGAAAGATTTTCCACAGTATCCTGGGACTTCATCTACTCCTGGGCCCAGACACCAATGCATTTTCCTTTAAGTGTGTAACACATTAAATGAAGGGATTTTTTAAAAGCTGAAAAGCATTCTAAGAGATGATATGGTCAAAATTTATATTTTGTTTTTAACTATAGAATAGTGTCTTCAAAATAAAGCGTGTCTTCAAAATAAAGCGTATGTAGAAGCTAGGGGAGGGAGCACAAGTCTGCTATCCCAGCACTAGGGAAGCTGGGCAGTAGGACTCCCCTGAGTCTGAAGACAGTACAGGTTACACTGTGAGCTCCAAGCCATCATGGCTACATGGAAAGATTCTGTCTCAATGCTCAAAAAAAAGAAAGTCTTCTCTGAGCTATCCCAGCACAGTCCAACTACTTTTCCTATTACAGGTGAGGAAACTAAGGCCTTAAAATGTTAAGTTCCTTGTCCTAAGTAACAAAGGTTTCAGGGATGTTTAAGAGTACCTATATATAGCTAAGCAGCTAGCACTAGAAATAAGGGGTTATTAATAAAGGATCAAATTCTTTAAAAAAAAGAAAACTATGTCAATAAAAGAGTTGTTGGCCGGGCGGTGGTGGCGCACGCCTTTAATCCCAGCACTCGGGAGGCAGAGCCAGGCGGATCTCTGTGAGTTCGAGGCCAGCCTGGGCTACCAAGTGAGTTCCAGGACAGGCGCAAAGCTACACAGAGAAACCCTGTCTCGAAAAACCAAAAAAAAAAAAAAAAAAAAAGTTGTTGATAAACAATTATTTCATTTCACATCTATATTCAATTCAACTTTTCCCCAAACTAATGGCAAATAAGTGACTTTAGATTCTTGTGGCACACTTAATCAGAGCCATACCTTTTGGCACACACTCCACTGCAAGGATCCAAAATTAACTTAGAGCTCCTCTGATATGTTTTTTTTTTTTACTCCAGGTCTTTATGCAAAATTAGTCTTGATTAGAATTCAACTGTCTGAGAGCTGGAGCAATAGCTAAGCAGTTAAGAGGACTGGCTGCTCTTGTAGAGGACCCAGGTTCAAGTCAGCACCCATATGGTGGCTCACAGCTGTCTATAACCCCAGTTCCAGAGGATTCAACATCCTCTTCTGGCCTCTGTGGGCACCAGGCACACACATGATATACAGACATACACGCAGGCAAATCATACCTACACATAAAATAAAAATGAACCTTTAAAAAAAAAAAAAAGCAACTAATGTGAGAACACTTGTAATAAAAATAATTTAAGAAAATACTGCCTTTGATAAGCACAGAAAACACAACACCAAGTCCTTCCATTTACCATTTTCTCCAAACAGCACATCCTATCTAAACAAATCTTTTTTCTTACCTGTGAATTTGGCTGGAATGCAGCATGGGGTGTTGAGTGTTTCTGTAAATTTTCTAGCATTAGAGCCTGGTATAAAGAAGAGCAAAAATCAGAAACCAGGAGGGGGAAACCAAAAAGCAGCCCAGATCTCTACCTCTCCCACAGCCTTTTCATTAAATTAAACTACTTAAATATACATTTATACCATACTCCTTTCATGGAGCTTAAAAGCCCTTTTACGAATACTGTTCTCATTCATCTTCACGAGATCCTTAAAGGTAGCCATGGTTACTGCTCCCAAATATACAGATATAAAATACAGGCACACAAAGAATCAGTGACCTGGCTATGTCATAAAAATCTGCAAAAGTGACAGAATCAGTACTAGAATCCCGTCTGCAATTTTGACTAGGAGCCACTTTTAAATCTGGTAATGGGGGGGGGGGGGGCACTCCAAATACTCAAACAAGCTTTAAATTACACAAAAGCGTGAGACTGCTGATTAGGATCCGACTATTACTTGGTTAGTTATTCAGATCTAAAACTAAGTGAACTGGCACAGCAGAGTGACATCTAGACTAATCAAATGTACTAAAATTTCAAAGAGAAACCGACCACAGACCTTGTAATCTGTGGTTTGACTTAATCCACACCCACCCACAAACTGTCAGCGTCGGGATAAGCGACGGCCTGTCAACTCAAACCCTGAACTAACCTAATCCCAATCCGCACTATCAGCCACATACCCTAATGAACTCTTAATTACACTAGTCCATCTCGCCTTCCCTCCATTTACACCAAACCGACACACAATATGTATACCTCAGGACAAACCCATTCTCATCTACTCAAACCGATACGAAATCCCCAGCCTAAAGTCATCTGTCTCACCTCTCGCACCAGTATTCACCAAATTCTTATCCAGACTGCTTCTCGATTCCCTATAAATTAGACACCCGTCTTTCACCAAGTCCTTCTACCAAGGTTTCCCTTCAGCTAAGGTCTTCATCGAATCAAGCGGACATTTTGCCCTCACCCAAATGTATTATTGCAGCCAGAGACACCAACCCCATGCGCCCAACTGTACCCCTAACTCGGACCCTGCCCTACTCGCCCCCGTAAGGCCAGCCACACCGGTGGTTGTAGAGGGATTTAACTCCTTCTGCAGCGCATGCGCCGAAAACACAGACACAAACAAGGAGGGGGTGGGGGAAGAAGGAAGGAGCTTAAGACACTCCGGGAGAGTAGCGCGCACCCTCCCATTTTGGGCTCGCGCCGCTGCCGTTAAGGCGGGAACCGGCGTTATCTCTATCCCAGCGCAAGCCACACCAACCACCGTGCGCGTGGATCCGCAGGCTCGCGCTGGCGGCCTGGGAGAGCTCGCGCCGAGCCCGGACACTGCGCCTGCGCCGCGGCGGAGACTCGTCTCTACCGGGTCCGCTCCCCTCCGACACCTCGGCAACGCTGACTTCTCACCCCTTTGAGCCGCTTGACCAGGGCACTCTTCTGCCCGCTCTTGGCTAGGCCTCGCTGCTCCAGTGCGGCCTTCAGGTCGGTCACCCGCAGAGCCTGAAGAGGCTTCCCGTCCAGAGTCACCTCCTCCAGCTCCGCCATCTTGCGTGAGGTACTCGGGTCCGTCCCGACGGCTTCGGGCATCTTCGGTAATTTCCGCTAACGCCCTTCGAACGTACCGAATTGGCCCCGCCCACTGCCATAGTCTACCCCTCTATTACTGCTCAGAATTCCCCGGGTTCCTCCGGAACTGTTCGGTCGTTTCCGTCTCCACATCGGTACCAATCGGCTCTTTCTATTTGCCCAGCCGCCGCCCCCTCCCTTTTTGCGTTCAGACTCGTTTGTTTTCGTCTTGCCGAGGCTTTGAATCGAATCTATTCGGAAGCCCTCGAATCGGGCATAACCATAATCGGAATTATTCGGCTATCTTCGGACCTGGGGCTGAGGCGCTGGGGCTCTTGGGTGTTTGGGGCTGGTTTAAGACCGGAAGTGCGTGGGTTATTGGGCTGGCTCTGCTTAGGGTTTTCAGGAAACGTGGAAGAGACTACGGCAGCTGGAGCTGAAGGACTCTTGTGATCTCTGGGCGCCCTTTGAGAGGAAAGGGGAGGTAGCAGGTAAAGAAGCCCCTCCTTGTCCAGATAAGATGTGGTGTCTGCAGGTTTCCTTTTGGGAAACTCTCCTGCACCCGTGGTGAAGCCTCTGTGGTCCCCATCCTCTACATCCTGGTCACTTGATCTGAGGAATGCTTGGGGGGCTTAAGACTCTTGCGGCTTCATAACGTGGGGAAAAAATGGCTTGTCTTTGATCCTAGGCAGTAAATTTTATCAATGACATTGAGTTTAAGTTTACCGTTGAAGCCATGTGGCGAGACCCTGTGGGAAAAGTCCCTTTCCCTGAAAAAGAAGTTTTAGGAGGAACTTCTCCCTGTATTGTTACTCTGAAAGTGGCAGTCACCCTGAACAGGGACTTGAACTGATCATTAAGATCATCAGTTCAAGTACAAATACAAATCTTCCAACTTGGAGCAGAAGTTGTGATTTAAGTCATAGAGGGTTGAACCTAACCTGAAGTAGGTTAGATAAGTAGATAAGTAGGAGAGATAGAACAAGCATTTTTGTTTGTTTTGGTTTTTCAAAACTGGGTTTCTCTGTGTGGTCCTGGCTGTCCTGGAAGTCACTCTGTAGACCAGGCTGGCAGGGAACTCAGAGATCTGCCTGGCTCTGCCTCTCAAGTACTGGGATTAAAGGCGTGCGCCACCACCGCCCAGCTTGCTTTTATTATTTTAATTGTGTATCTGTGTGTCTGTCTGTGGGTATGTGCATGTCCTACAGACACTAGGCAGTGCTCTGGAAGTACAGGAAGTGTGTTTAAATACTGAGCACTCTTTCCCCCAGGCAGTCAATGGTTGTTTCTAAGATTGTTTATGGAGGTGGCTGAGGACATAGCTCAGCTGGTGGAGCGCTCTTTTAGTTCTGTCCTCAGCAGCACAAAAAGTATGGTGGCATGTCACAGTTCAAGGCCATCCTTAGCTACACGTCCAGCCGAGACTACATGAAAATTAAAAGGAATGTGGGGAAAGAGGCTAAGTGTGGTGATATTTTGTTTATACTCTAACAAATAAAATTTGCCTAAAGATCAGAGGACAGAGCCAGCCACTAGATTAAACATAGAGGCCAGGCAGTGGTGACACACACCTTTTAATCCCAGCACTTGGGAGGCAGAAATCCGTTTGGATCTTGTGAGTTCAGGGAGGCAGAAATCCATTTGGATCTTGTGAGTTCAGAGCCACCCTGGACTACACGAGATTAAGCCAGTCTAAAAGAGAAACAGCCAGGCAGTGGTGGCACACGCCTTTAACCCCAGCACTAGGAAGGTTGAGACCGGAAGTGATATGGTTGGGCAGAGAAAAGAATGTGAGGCAGGAGGAGACAGGAGTTTTGGCACATTTTGGCTGAGGACTCAGAGGCATTCAGTTTGAGGATTCGTGGAGACAGGATCTTCTCTTTTTCGCTGAGGAGTTGGTGAGGTGAGAAGTGGCTGTGGCTTATTTCCTCTGATCCTTCAGCATTTAACCCCAATATCTGGCTCCAGGTTTTTGTTATGAGACCAATTAGGATTCGTGCAACAGCTAAGGGTGGATATGTAATTTTTTTTTAAAAAAAGATTTATTTATTTATTTATGTATACAGTATTCTGTCTGCATTTTATCTGTAGGGCAGAAGAGGGCACCAGATCTCATTATAGATGGTTGTGAGCCACCATGTGGTTGCTGGGATTGAACTCAGGACCTCTGGAAGAGCAGTCAATGCTCTTAACCACTGAGCCATCTCTCCAGCCCCCGGATATGTAATTTTTTAACACCAACATTTGGAAGGCTGAGGCAGGAGGCTCTTGAATTTGAGGCCAGCAAGATTATTTTCTAAGACTTGAGGTAACCTGTGAGTACGATTACTCTTCTTTTGACCCAGACACCTCTCCCTCCAAATCATTCAAACCAAGAGGTTCAGATGTCTGTGTTCACTTTAGAACATGTGTGAAATTGCCCAGGCTAGCAAGGCTTTATGTACCTAAAGAGCCACCAAGTATCTGAAAGGTGTCCCTTTAAAGAAACAACGTGTGACTTTTAGACAGTGTACAGTAGTGTTGGTAAGTGTGCTGAGGACAGACAGTATGGCTAGATGTGTGATTGGTAGTCCCAGAAGAGTGCTGAAGTTTTGCTCTACGTGCTTGAACATGCTGAACTTAGAAGTTCTGAAGCTGTGATCACTGACAATAACCAGAACAATGCACCCAAAATACAGTCAGATTAACCCATATGTGAGCTTGCCTGTCGCATTGAAATGATCCTCACTGAAAAGGAACTGTTCCTAAGCCGGAAGAGAACATTAAAGAACAAAAAACATCTCAGAAGAAACTGACACCAACAAAAACTTCCAGCATATGAATAAGTTTAGCAGCAAATAAATGTTAATGAAATAAAATGATGAAGGCAGTAAGAGACAGTGGTTAGATGGGTTGTTTCCTTCTTATTGTTTGTTTGTTTGTTTGTTTGTTTGACCCAGAGTCTCTTGTAGTTTAGGCTGGTCTGGAACTCCCATGTAACTGAGGCTCCTCTTTTAACTCGTGATCTTCCTGCCTCCACCATGTAAGCCCTGTGTGCCACCACGCCTGGTATGTGTTTTTCTTTCATTGTTTCGAGATAGGGCCTCACTCTGCAGGTTAAACTGACTGGAACTTACTATGTACCTGTGTAGTCCAACCTGGCCTTTGATTCCTGGCGATCCCCCGACTCCACTTTGAGTGCTGGGATTGTAGGTGTGAGCCTCGTGCCTGGCTTAGGTCAGTGCAGAGGAAAGAAGGCGGCACACACCAAGTGGAGTTGTTCTTGGTAATTGTAGAAACATAAAAATAAAGGCTCTTGTTGCCTGTGGAATGGCTCTGTGCATTTGTAATCCCACTATTCAAGAAGCTAAGGCAGGAGGATCAAATTTTGGCCGTTCTGAAACTACACATATACAGTGAAGTCCTACCATAGGAAAGGGTCCTGCTGTTTTCCTCCTGATTGAATTGGTGGATATTGATGTGGTGCGGTAGGGTTTGTTGCTTAGGAGGTTATGTTTAGGTTGCTGTCTGCCAAAGACGGTATTAACAGAGCTTCGTTTGTTTCAGGATGCCACTGGAATCATCTTCCTCGTCCGTGCCACCATCCTGCCCTTCTGTGTTACCTGCAGTGCCAGACGACATTAACAGAGCTTCCCCTCCTCCAATGTCTTACATCACTTCCCATGAGATGAAGTGTATTCTTCACTGGTTTGCCAGTTGGTCAGGTCCCCAGCGGGAACGTTTTCTACAGGACCTGGTAGCTAAGGCAGTGCCTGGGAAACTGCAGCCACTGCTGGATGGCCTGGAGCAGCTCAGTGTGTCTGGGGCAAACCGACCGCCTTGTATCTTTGAGTGTCAGCTGCGTCTTTGGGATCAGTGGTTTCGAGGTTGGGCCGAGCAGGAGCGCAATGAATTTGTCAGACAGCTGGAGGTCAGTGAACCAGATTTCGTGGCAAAGTTCTACCAAGCAGTGGCTGCCACTGCTGGTAAAGACTGATAGGCATTCAGATGGAGAAGATAACTCCATGTGATCTAGCCAAAGACCATGACTGTAGTGAAGATTCAGTGCACCTGCTGGGGTAGTGGTGTGCCTTTTCTTCCAGCACCGGGAGGCGGAGGCAGCCTGGTCTACAGATCAAGTTCCGAGCCAGTCAGTGCTACAAAGTGCTACAAAGTGAGACCCTGCCTTAAGGGAAAAAACTGCTTGAACTTCATGATGAGTGCCAGCACTATTTTTAACTTTGTAATATGTCACCTGAACTCTATAAATGTGATCCGTTTAAACAAATCTGATTATGTCAGGCACCTGCTTTATTTACAGGAGATGTCTAAATCTCAAGAATTTAATGACTTGTTACTGTAACTAAAAAGAGCTTATATCTCATTGCCAGGTGGTGGTGGCGCACACCTTTAATCCTAGCACTTGGGAGGCAGAGGCAGTCAGATCTCAGTGATTTCGAGGCCAGCCTGGTCTACAAAGCAAGTTCAAAAGAGTTGGTTTTCTCGGTCCACTTTGTAGCTCCTCAGGGATCAAACTCGGGGAAATGACCTTACCCATCTTGCTGGCTGACATCATACTTGTCTTACTTTAAACTGATCTCCTGTGCCGTGCATGTATCTCATGATAGTTAAGTGGTAGATGGTCCCACTTGGAGTGTAGCTCGTTTCTGACAAGCCAGAGTTCCCAGTGCACCCACCAGAATTAGCAACAGTAGGCAGAATCCCGTGGATAGAAGTCGGGCAGTCAGAGAGAGGTTATGGTCCCAGGAAGTCGGTGGCCTAGGAACAGGAAAGGCACTGTTTGTCCTGCAGTAGTGTTAGGCGTTAACGGAATAGAAACCTGTTTGGATCAAGCACTAGGGCAAGCAAGGCAGTAAAAGCCAATGTTGAACCCAAAATGTGGGGATGGAACCAAGGTCCAAGTCTCCAGCAGCTTCAAGGACGGAAAGGAGAATTAATGATAATGATGACTAGCTTATGGGAAGACACTGTTTTGGTAGCTAGATTTATAAAGCGAGAGGTGTGATGGCACATGTTTACGGATGACCCCAGTACTCCTGAGGCAGGAGATCAGAAGTTCAAGATCATCCTTAGTTCTAGTAAGTGTGAGGCCACCCTGATGCTAAATGAGACTTTGTCTCAAAAAAAAAAAAAAAGAAAGACACCAAACCTACAGCTGGGGAGGCAGATGCAGATGAATCTGTGAGTTCAAGGCTACCCCACAAAGTAAGTTCTAGACCAGCCAGGGCTTCACAGTGAAACCCTGTCTTACCCTCTCCTGTCCCCCTCCCGCCCCCACCCCCCCAAAAAAAACAAGACAACAACTGAAATCCCTGAGTTCTAGGGATGGGGCCCTATTGCTGTTTGATGGGCCTAAGGTGATGTTGGGCGTCTTTTTACTGATCTACATAACCTTGTTTAGAAAAAGGTACACGTAAATGCATGTTTAACAAATGTGATTTCAGGGGCTGGAGAGGTGGCTCAGCAGTTAAGAGCATTGCTTGCTCTTCCAGAGGTCCTCAGTTCAATTCCCAGCATCCACATAGTGGCTCCCAACCACCTATAGTGGGATCAGATTGCCCTCTTCTGGCATAAAATTGCACATGCAGATAGAGCGCTCATACATAAAAATAAATAAATCTTAAAACAGATGTGGTTTCAAATGTCTGAGCAGGGATGCAAAGCTTACTACTGGGGACACAATCGTACTTGCTGTCTTCTGTGGTAAAAATGGCTTCTCCATGGTGTACTTGGAGGGGTTTCTCCTGAAAAGTCAGAGTCAGGGTCCTGTATAGTGTAGCAATGGAAGGCCCTTGGCAGCCTGGAGACTTCCGCATGCTTACAGTGAACACCAAACTTGCGGTGATAGATGGGCTGTGGAAATAGCACCTGAACAGACAGTGAGATCTCTTAATGGAGGAAGAGTGCTTGAGAGAAGATCTGAAGGGTTAAGTGTAGGTTTCAGAGTGCGATGGACAGTGTAGAGGGAGTGTGAAAGAAAGGACTTGGGCACTCTGTGGTCCATTGTCAAATAGGTCGAACTGTCCCTTTACCTGCTAGTGCCAGCTCTTGTCACCACAGCCTGCAGAACTAGCTCAGCCAGCTCTCCTCTCTGCTCTTTCCCCAGAGAGTGGCCTGGGGTCCCAGTTAATCCTAAAGACAGCTGGAACAGCTGGTCTTGGGTTGGGAACCTCGTCGTCGGTGGAGAAGTGGCGGCATTGGTGCCTTTGTTACTCAGACACAGCCGGCCTTGGGGACAGTAGAGAAGACCGTAGTATCCAGGTATCTGCAAGGAAATAGCTAAGTTACCGCGTCAGTTACTTGTTTAGGGATGCCTGCTAAGGAAAACGGCACGTTCTAGATCAGTCATGGCCTAAGGAGGTATTTATAGGGGGGAAAACGGTAGGTTGGCCAGGGGCTGAGGGTGAAGCGCAGTACGTGCAGTGTCCCAGATTTAACCCCCAGCATTGCTAAGTAAATGCATAAATAAAATAAAAATTCAAGATTTAAAAAAAACACGCTGAACATTAGGCTTGGTGGTTCATGTCTGTAATCCCAGTAAATGAGAGGCTAAGGCAGGAGGATTGTCACAAGTTTGAGGTTAGCCTGGGCTATATAGCTGGTTCTGGGCCAGCCTGGACTCTAAGAAGCTGGACAGTAATGCCAGTTAAGCATTTCCCAAATTTTCTGCCTGTGTGCTCTGACTACTCTTAAAATTATCACGTGGGTGGTGGTGGTGGCGGCGGCGGCGATGGCGCATGCCTGACCCAGGCAGGTGGATCTCTGTGAGTTTGAGGCCAGCCTGGTCTACAGAGTGAGTTCCAGTATGGAAACCCTGTCTCAAAAAAAAGGAAAGAAAAGAAAAAACTTCTCACCTGAACAGCCTTTCCTGGAAGGCAGGGGACCCACGGTGACCCCTCAGCTTGCACCTCATATGCTCCCCTCTGTGTGCATTGATGTAAGTAGCAACGGCCTGTGGGAGTGATGGAGGATGGGCCGACCTTGTCTGTGGAGAGCACTTGGGAGGTAAGGTTGGCAAGGAAGCAACGGCTCTGCAGATGGTAGATCTCCCCATGGGGGTTCTCTGCTCTGGGGAGGAGTCCATTTTCCTCCTTCCAGCATTCACTCTGCAGGGGAGGGGAATGGTAGACTAGTGTATGCTGTAGAGGTCGACTCCTCCAGGGCCTGCTTTCTGTTCTGTAGTCCACTCACCCCACTGGCCAGGGGTTTGTACATGCGGCAGCCTTCTAGCGTTGGGTCCGAGGAGCAGCTCCCCTTGTCCAGGTGCAGGTAGTGGCAGCCCAGCCCACTGTGTGGAAGGGAGAGCAGAGAGATGACGCTGGGATCGCGGACAGGTGTATGGTCCCCTGCCCGCTCAGCACACACCTGTGGGTGCAGAAGAAGTCTGAGGATCCATTCCTGCATGTGCTCACCAGGCCAAATTCTAGTCCAGAGCCTGCTTGTGTGATAAGAAAAGAAAGTACTCGAAGATGAAGCCTCAGGCTGGGCATAGTGACTGACGGATGACTTTGATCCTAGCACTTGGGAGTAAGAGCCAGGAGGGACTTTGTGAGTTGGAGGCCAGCCTGGTCTACATAGTGAGTTCCAGGACCAGACAACCAGAGAGCTACATAGCCAGACCCTGTCTTGCCCCCCCCAAAAAAAGAAAAGACACCCCAGACATCCCTCAGTACCATCGCCACTTACAGTTTGAATTACACCTTAGTAGCAACTAACTCCAAACTATAGCCTCCCACAAGGCCCTGCCGACCTTGATTTCTTACCCTGACCCCACAATAGCTCCTCCGCAGCACTGTAGTTGACTTGATACCAGCCTGAATCTTCAAAGGCAGCAAGAGTTACCGGGTCAAGTCGAGTGTACCGGGCACCATCAAAGGTAGCAGTCATTATAGAGCCCTGGAATAATCTGGACTCCCAGTGTGAAGACAGAGAGCCCTGTTGGGTAAGGTAGTTGGTTGCTGTTTGGCTACTCGCTGTTTCTTTCATTGTCCCAAGGTGTTATTCTCACCTCCTCTTCCAAAGGAACACCCCGCAAAGGCCCTGGCACGCCCAGGTGTCTGGCTAGGCCGTGGCTAACAGTCGGAGTGGTGAGAAGCAGCTGTCCCCACTCATCTCGTCCTGTCACTTGTTTCCTCGTAGAACAATTCTCTCTAGCTGGCTTCAAAAGGGGAAAGTTAGAAAGGGCGAAACAGAAGGTGGTGAACTCCCTCTGGTTGACATTACAGGGAGCCCGCCCACTCCCCCACTCCTTCCGGTTACCACTGAGTCCTGAGGGGCAGTCCCGCCATCTCTTGAAGAGCTGTCCGGAAAAACCCAGGGCATGGAGCAGTTCATGCAGTGTGGCCTAAGAACAAATGGCTGCAGAGTGAGGGGCCTGGCTCCAGAGCAGAACTCGAGCCCCTATGCATAACCAGCTCTCCCTCTCCGCAGAGCTTCAGGCACCTCCTGTTCCATCCTCAGTCGGTTCTCCCACTTCGTGGGAGACAGCCGCCCCCAGCCCCATCCCACATCCATCATGCAGTAGTCACCATGACGATATCACTATGGCTGAGGCTGGAGCTGGTGAGATGTTGGGCACAGTAGACAATGGTACCAGCGAGGGGTCTGTCTTCTGAATCCAGCTGGCAGCAGGCAGCATAAGCTATGGCAGCGGGCTGCACACAGGCCAAGAGAAGGTAGGGTAGAAAGGAGGGAAGCCGGGGCTCTGTAGAGCTCTGCTGGGGTGGTGCCCATAGCTACCCTGGAAGGTTCTTAGCCCCTACACAATTCAAGCTTTATCAGCATACTCCAAACTGCCCCCCAAAGAAGCACAACTCAATGAAATGGTGTCTATTTCCATACCCCTCCTTACAAAGTTTCGGATCAAGAGAGGCAGCAGGGAAAAGGGGTGGGCTTTGAACCTCACCTCTTGGTGACACTTGGAAGTGTGGGCAACCCGCACATACAGGAGAAAATCAGTGTTTGGGACTCCAGAGCCATCTGGTTGGATTAGTTGGGGCAGACCATGCTCTGGCCACAAAGAATAACCACGCAGGTGGGCATCAGGCATCTGTCCGGGAAGGAAATCTAGGATAAGCCTAGCAGGTGGATGGAAACTGGATGCTAGAAGGAAGGAGAGATCTTCAGGCTGTCTCAATACCATCCAGGTAGCCAGCTGGAATCGGATTCCTAGCTGAGCATGTATAACTTCCCAGCATGTGCAAGGCCTAGGTTCAAACTGAGGGGTGTGTGTGTGTGTGTGTGTGTGTGTGTGTGTGTGTGTGTGTGTGTGTGTATGTGTGTGTGTTTTTAAAACAGAGTTGTGCCCCTAGCTACCCAGATCTCTGCTTTAACATACTTGAGGAGCATGGGTAAAAGAGACTAAGGCATGTACATCATTATGAAGACCGAGACAAGAGGACAATATCACACATCTGAGATCAGGTCCTTTTAAGTGCTGAGGTATTCGGGAAGTCTAAATAGGTTAGAGACCTTCAGATACCCGAGGCTGGTGACTTGCTCTCACCTTCACTCCAAGGCAACTCTCTCCTTCGTATCCAGGGTTCAAGAGGCTACACCTGTCAAAAAAGGTGAAGTGAGCTGGAGGCATTTTCTAGACGTCTTTGGAGAAGACATTACCAGTGGCAGACTCACCTGTGGTAGTTTGGGGTCTCTGGGTCTCCCCAGACGGCACGGCAGTATTGTGTAGGGTCCCGACTCAGAAGCAGAGGTCCTTGTACTGGGGTGACTTAAGGCAAGGGGACAATTTCACCTCATCATCTGAGTTCAATTCTTTTTCTGTGATGGCCTCTTTCTCTTAGACCTCCTCTGCCCCTCAGCCCTTCGTGATAATTCCTGTCTTCGCACTTACCTGCTAGGATACCCTGAATTCTGCGGGTGGTCTCTCTCAGTGCAGCCCGGGCTCGAGATTCCCCTCTCCTTTGGTCTCCATCAGGATCCCAAGCTTCCTTGGATACAGGGTCTCTTGGATAGTAGGTCTGGATTCTAAGGGGTTGAGGATCATGGGAGCCAGGAAGGACTGAGGAGCGGGAGCGTGTGGGCATTTGGGAGAAATGGGGCCTGAGAAGGCGCACAGACTTCTGGGTCTCGTCATGCAGACATCTGCTTGTGGCCACCGCAAGGAGGAGCAGCAGCCGCATCTTCCCTGTGTCCCCCACAGGCTGCCCTGGGTCCTGTCCGCTGTGGCCAGGTCACTTATTCCTGCCCTTTCTCTAGTCTCTCTCCACACCCCTGGCACCTTCTTGCTTGTTCTTAGAAGAGTTGAAAGCTGTTGGCTAAATCTAGTTTCCTACTAGGAGGTAGGATATGAACCACAGGGGCTGGAGCCATCTGCTCTAGGGTGCCAGAGGCGGAGTGCTGGGGGGGAGTGTGACTCTGAGCCTTCAGTTTACTTTCCCAGAGAGGGGCTGCCCCACATTCCTGCCCCCCTCCCATCTTTCTCAGTGGGAAGCCTTGACGTCTCCCCCAAAACAACAACAGAAAAGTGGAGGCAATATGATGGAGGAGGAATGTGAGGGTCAGTAGTTTTGGGGTTTGTTTGGTTTTGTTGTTTTTCATGGATGCCTGCCCATCTCCTTGGAGCTGAGCAAACAGGTCCTGCACTTTGCTGGGCCAGCCTCTCCCTAAGCTGTGAGACTTTCAGGAATGTTCTGCACCTGCGTCAGCTGGTACACAACAAACACACTTGTGTTGACCGGTCTCTCCTTCGGGAGGCTGTGGGCTAGGCCCGGGAGGCTTCTCAGAACCTGCTCACTGGTTGGCAGGAAAGGGGAAATAAACTTTACAGATGGACGTCGTACCAGAAGTTCAAAGATGCTCTCTGGGAAGCGCTGGACCCGCTTTGTTTCCTTTGCTCCCACTGTGCTTTTCTGAACTGTTTCCCGCTCTCGGCTGCCCGCCCTTCCTCCCATGCCGGGCTGACTCCCACCTTTCCTGTAGTTACTCTGGGAAGCCTTTCTTAACATCCCCAGCCCAAATTTCACACCCAGCAGAGGTGGGAGGGAACATTTACAGGAGGTCCCTGACCTTGCAGCTCCTGACCAGACCTGCTTTTCTCCGAAGTAAGTACAGGCTCAGGCTCTTCCGGCTCTCCCAAACTCCTAGAAGAGGCCAACTTCCTGTCAGGTCTTCAGTGTGGGGATGAATCCCTAGCTTTATTTTCGCTTCTTGTCTCTCGTTATGTAGCTCAGGCCTTGAACTTGCGACCCTCTTGCCTCTGCTCCCCCAGATTACAGCCATGCAGCGTCGTGTCTGCTCCACTACTTTACTTGAAGGCGAGGGACAAAGTCCCACATGTTAAAGCGGAGTATTAGTTAACGACAGGTAAGGACTAGAGGCTATTCTTCTTTTTAGTTTTTGAGGGGGCAGGATCTCACTGTGTAGCCTTGGCTGGCCTGAAACTCTATGCAAACCAGGCTAGCCTGGAGCTCACCAAGTACCTGCTGCTACCTCCTGAGTACTGGAGTACTGAGATCAGAGGTGTGCGCCATTACAACTAACTCAGGACTAGAGTATAAAGGGACCTTCTGGCTTCTCTGGGAGATATATATATATATCTACTACTACATATATATATAGTTTTTTTGAGACAGGGTTTCTCTGTGTAGCCCTGGCTGTCCTGGAACTCGAGCTGCAGACCAAACTGGCCTTGAACTCAGAGATCCTCCTGCCTCTGCCTCCCAAATGCTGGGATTAAAGGTGTGCGCCACCTCCCAGCAACAACTCTATTTTTACATGTGACAAGGGAAACAGTCCACTCTGGAGCCAAAGCCACTCTGCCGTTTCCTGTTTATGTCATTTTGACCGAGTGCTATGGCCTTCCCATTTTAAAGGATTGCTGTGAGGAGTGAGTATTTGTAAAGCACGAACTGCCCAGAGCATGGAGAGACAGCTCAGCAGTTAAGGCAGTGGTTCTCAACCTTCCTGATACCGAGACCCTTGAATACAGTTGCTCAAGTTGTGGCGAGACCTCAACCATAAAAGCATGTCATTGCTACTTCATAACTGTAATTTTGCCACTGTTGTGAACGGTAATATACATATCTGATAGGCAGGATTTCTGACCTGCAACCCCTTTGAAAGGGTCGTCCCAGAGCTCTTGAGTGGATTCCCAACACTCATGTCAGGTGGCTCAAGACCATCTGTAACTCTAGGGGAATCCAGTGTCTCTGGCCTCCACTGGCACTCATGTGCAAGGAAAGAATATGTATTATGAGGCGAGGCAATGGTCGGGATGTAAAATAAATAGATAGATAGATAGATAAATAAATAAATAAATTAATTAATTAATTTTAAAAAAAAGAATATATATGCTGGGCAGTGGTGGCGCACACCTTTAATCCCAGCACTCGGGAGGCAGAGCCAGGCAGATCTCTGTGAGTTCGAGGCCAGCCTGGTCTGCAGCTCGAGTTCCAGGACAGGCTACAAAGCTACACAGAGAAACCCTGTCTCGGAAACAAAACAAAACACAAAAAACAAACAAACAAACAAAAAAACAACAAGAATATGTTTTATACAGGCTGGGGCAAGGTCTTGTTTTCACTTTCACCAGAAGAAAAAAAAAATCACACACACACACACACACACACACACACACACACACACACACTGCAGTTAGAGAATTTAGAATTAAAAATTTTATTATTATCAGGTGTACAAGCTTGAAGGGGACTCTTGTTCTTTCTCTAAGACAAATATAGCTTTCTCTAGCTGTCTGAACACCTTTTTTCCTGGGGGGGAAAAAAAGAAAGAAAGAAAAAGTCCCAATAAGTAGTATTTATGTGATGAGTTCGGTGGGCCTGGCTCTCCTGGTTTCCGTCCTTCTCTGCAGCCGCTTCTGTCCTTTGCTGCCCCCATGTGGCCATGCTGAGAGAGGCCTGACCCTGCTGGAGCAGGGGCTGTCCTTATCAAGAGCTTTGGGAGTGGAGGGTGGAACTTGCCCCACACCAGCAGGAGAAACACAGGAACACCTTACTTTTCTTCCACTGCCTGCCTATAAGTAGTTTCTGTAACACCTCTCAGAACAGACCTAGCCTACTGCAGGAAGTAACAGTTAACTAAAGGGTATCCGCTCAGGACCTACTGTCAGCCCTGCAGAGGAAATGCCGGGAAGAAATAAATACCTTGCCCTGCTTTGTTCCAGATCCAAGTTATCTGCCCGTTGGGATTTTCTTTACTCCACAGAGAGAAGAGAGCATTCATTTGTATATACTGTCTTCCAACAGCAATTCTTTCTCATCTTTAAAACAAGTTGTTTTGTTTGTTTGTTTTTCAAGACATGGCTTCTCTGTGTAACAGTCCTAGATGTCCTGGAATTCGCTTTGTAGACCACGCTGGTCTTGAACTCACAGAGATAGATCAGCCTCTGCCTCCTAAGTGCTGGGATTAAAGACGTTCACCACCTCTGCCCTGCCTCAGGTTTTTTGTTTGTTTGTTTGTTTTTGTTTTTGTTTTTTAAGAGAAGGTTTCACTTGAATTCAGGATCCTCCTGATTCCTCTCCTCTACTGAAATCCAGTGCTGAGATCACGGAAATGTATTACTATGCCCAATTCTATCTTTTTTTTTTCTTATTTAGTCTTTATGTTTAAGCTTTATTTATTTTATACGTGTAAGTGTTTTACCTGCATGTGTGAGACATGTGTGCCTGGCATCCGACCCCCTGGGACTGGAGTTGCAGGTGGTTGTAAGCCATCATGTGAGTGCGGAGAACCGAACTTGGGTCCCCCTGCAAATGCTCTTAACCACTCGACCTCCCCCCATCGCCCCCAGCTCCATGTTGACTTCTGTGTGACTGTGGTTCTCTACCAGACTTCAGACAGAGATCGTCTTACTCGTCTCTTTGAAGATGTGTGAAGTAACTAGGGAAGGATGGTGGTGGCGGGAAATGGGGATGAGGGAGAAGGAGGTGAGGAGCTACCGATAGCCATTGTCCTGTCCAGCATGTTTTTGTGTCCTGACACTGTTCCAAACATTTTATACTCCTATGAGCCTTCCAGAAACCTTGGTATTATTGTTATTATCCCAATTTTACAACTGAGGCACAGCAAAATTAGGCAATAAAATAGTAGGATTTCAACCCTCACAGAGAGGGTTGACACCTACTATACAGTGTGGCCTCTCTAATTCATCCAGGGATGTGGAAGTTACGTTAGGATGAAAAGAGAAACTGCAGAGATGGAGGGGCATAGGTGGAGGAGAGAACTTGTGGATAAGGACGGGACTGAGAAACTGCAGAGATGGAGGGGCATAGGTGGTGAGGAGAGAGCATGTGGATAAAGATGGGACTGAGAAACAGGAGAGACGGAGGGGCATAGGTGGAGGAGAGAGCATGTGGATAAAGACGGGACTGAGAAACTGGAGAAGGGGAGGATTACTCTGTGGAGACCCGAAGTTGGAGGATAATGAGGAAACAGGAGGGAGGATGGCCGGAGGACCAGTCACCCCAGGTGGTGGCATTGCAGCTATGATAATGTCACTGTGTGCTGCTCTGTCCAGCATGCTCCTCTCTCAGGCCCTTAGCCCTTCCACCTCTAACATTCTCGTCCTCCATTCCACTCAAGGGAGATAGTCCCAGGGCTGTGCCCAGAGCCTTATCATCACTAGAAACTGAAACATCGATGAAATAACGGAATCCAACACCCCTCTGTGATATGATCTCTTTTCCTTATGGTTCGTTGTTAGGTTGGCTCACTGCAGCTGTCGGACAGGCTGGCTGAGGAACGGTGACTCTTCTTTACTTACTCTCCCTTCTCTGCTTTAGGCTGTAGACTCTCTGATGAAATTCTTTCCCGAATCTCTTCAACTCCCCTTCGCTACCTGTCCTTTCCACCTGACCTCCCTAGCTAAGCACCACCCTTCGATGGCTCCAGCATTTGCCTGCATTTGTAGGTGAGCAGCTAAGGACCAGCAGAGTTCCGGAGAACAGGCTGCCACACTCTAAAACGCTTATCATCAACTTCGACTGTATGCTCCCAAGTCAGAAATCTCAACAACCAGCTCTCTTCCCACACTTAGCAACTGGGATTTTTTGTTGTTGTTGTTTGTTTTGAGACAGGGTTTCTCTGTGTAGTCCTGGCTGTCCTGGAACTCACTCTGTAGACCAGGCTTCCTGGGTGCTGGGATTAAAGACATGCACACCACTGCCTGGCTGCAACTGGGATTTTATACCTCCAAGCTGAAGCCTCCCCGGCAGCTCAGCCACTTTCAGGAGCCTCTTCTTTCACAATGAAAAATAAAAGCTGTAAGACAGGAACAGACTCTGTCTGCTACAAACCTTTTTATTAGTTTAAGATGGGATCTTGCTATGTAGCCAAGGCTGACAGACTGGCCTCAAACTTACTCTCCTCCTTTCTTAGCCCACTGAGTGTTAGGATGGCAAGGCTGTGTCACTAAACCCAGCCAAGCCTATTAAAACATTATCACTATTTTTGGTGTTTTGAGACAGGGTCTCACTATGCATCATCCCTGATCGTGAACTCACTAAGTAGACCAGGCTGGCCTCAAACTCACAGAGAGATCCTCCTGCTTCTGCTTCTCCAATGCCGGGCTTAAAGGCATGTGTCACCATGCCCAATTCAACACTATGTGTTTTAAATTCTTTGCTATATGTTATATGTTTAAAAAAAACATTTATTTTGAAGGCTGGAGAGTTGGCTCAGCAGTTAAGAGCACTTGCTGCTCTTGCAGAGGAGCTGGGTTCAATTCCCAGCACCCACATAATGGTTCACAACCATCCAGGACTCCAGTTCTGGGGGAACTGATACTATCTTTGGACCTCTTTGGGCACCAGGAAAGCATGTGGTGCACATATATATGTGCAAGCAAACACTCATACATATAAAATTTAATGAATAAATCTAAAAATAAAATTTAAAAAGTATTGTGTGTCTGTCTAGGCAGCCATGTGTGCCGTGGCGTACACAGGAGTCTCTTCTCTCCCTTTACCACTAGGTTCTGGGGACCCAACTAGGGTCAGGTTTGACAGTGGGTGCCTCCACCCACTAAACAGTCTTGCCCACTCCCTATTTCTATTTTAATCTGTTTCTACCTTTTCCCTTCTAAGAGAGAGAGAGGGGGGTTTCTCTTCTCTTGGAAGGAAGGGCAGTCTTTCCATTATGCTCTAGATCCCACCTGAGGGCGCTTGGGAACTCCAGCCTCAGCCCTGCTGGGCCTCATCCCGGGCATCCCTCTCCCTCCCAATCTAGCTTGTTCCATCCCAACCACAGACTCTAAATTGGGGGCACTGCTGTGAATGGTAAAGACTTGCTTCCGAACAATTGCCTCTATGTGGGAATCCCTGCTTTTTGCCAGACTTACCTCTTGAATTCTGCTTCTCTGTTATTCTCTCAAACAAGCCTTTCCTGGCCCTCACATTTAAAGCAGATGCTTTAATTGAAACCCACCACTGGTACCAGGTGTGGTAGTACACCCCTGCAATCTCAGTACCTGACAGGCTGAAGCAGGAGGATTACGAGTTCAAGTCCAGTCCGGTGGTGGTGGTGGTGGTGGTGGTGGTGGTGGTGGTGGTGGTACACACCTTTAATCGAAGCACTTGGGAGACAGAGGCAGGTGGATCTCTGCGTTCAAGGCCAGCCTGGTCTACAGAAGTGAGTTCCAGGACAGCCAGGGCTACCCAGAAAAACCCTATCTCAGAAAACAAAAAAACCAACCTACCAACCAACCAACCAACCAACCAACCAAACAAACAAACAAACAAACAAAGAGTCTCATGTCCAGGCTGGACTACTATAGTGAGACCCTGTCTCCCAACAAATGAAAATTATCACAGGTCACCTCTATTTTAGCCCACAGCAGTGCCCCCAATTTAGAGTTCTGTATCTGTGGTACCGTGCTTGCCTGCCACCCTTATTAACTGTAAACTCTACGAGAGCAAAGACTACTCTCATGTAGCCTGTAGTTCCTACAGTAAGTAAAGTGCCTGGCCAAGGGTACATGTCCCATAGGCCTTTCTAAAAAAAAAAAAAAAAAAGAAAAGAACACGTTGAATGTGGTGTGAAGGACAAAAGCCAGGGAAAGAAGTTGAGTGTGGCGGATTGTGCCTGAGATCTCAGCACTCAGGAGGCTGAGGCGGGAGAATTGCTTTGCATTCTAGGCTAGTCTGGGCTTCAGGATAAGACCCTGTCTCAACAAACAAAAACAAAACCAGAAAGGGAGGCTTTGCACATCAAGGTCCAGATAGGAGCCCTCTGTGCTAGCCTGAGAAGGCTTCCAGATCCCGAGTGGGCGCCTAGGAGCACTGACTCTTGGGGCCATGATACTTTGGAGGTTTGAAGTCAGGCTGGGTGGGTGGAGCTAGCCTTTATCTTGGAGTGCAGCCCTAGCTAGCCTCAGATGTTGACAGCTGGAGCTAGCGAGGGTTTTGCAAACCTTCCCAGTTGCAGAAGGCCAGCAGTCTGTGGGACAGGTGGGTGGGGCCCGAGCTTATCTCCCAAGTACAGTCCTAACCTCAGATGGTAACAAAAGAGGAGCTGGTAGGAGTTTTGCAAACCGTCCCGATTGCAGCAGGGTTTGGATGGCCTGGCCAGGGTGCCCATGCCACTAGGTGTTGCAGGGATGATAGGGGTTTTGAGTTTGAGCCTTTGGGATGAAGCTTAGCTTTCAGGACACTGGGGTGGAGACATGCTATAATATGGCTGGCCTCTGCCTACATCATGACCTTGCTTTTTAGGACAAGTGAGAAGCCACAGTTCTGCAGGTGGGTCGTTCCCTGCAAACAAGGCCTTCCCTTGCCAGGGCACAGGATCCTTCCCCTGCTCCATCAAGTCACAGCTGATGGCCATTTTGGTAAAGTCAAGTGGCCCCTTTTCCTGCGAATACACCCACCTTCTTTCCCCATGGAGAGGATTTCTCACCTGCCATTGGTTTTCTGAAGTCAGGCTAGGAAGTACTGTCTGGGTTAGGCCACTGCCACTTTGGAGGAGGAGTTGACCTGCTGGGGACTAGTGAATGTACTAGGGGAGTACACAGGTCCTCAGGCCCTGCTGTCTATACCAGAGTCTTCTCACAGGCTTGGAGCAGGGCAAGGGGTGGAGGTGAAGAGGCCCCTTTCCACCACAACCCCAACGGGGCTCTTGCAACACTGGGATGGGGGCCCTGGGGGCCCGGGAGTGAGGCAATCTCTGGGGGTTGGGAGGTGCACACCGAAGGGGGCAGCTTTCACAAGCACCCGCTGACTGACCTTGGCAGACTCACCTTGGGCAGCTTCCTTCCCTCGTGGTATCAGTATCTCCCCACAACCTTCCTCTCACAGGCTTCCCTGCAGCCTGAGATCGAGTCTCAGTTCAGGACTCTTGTCCTTCACCTCAGCTGTGTTCAAGAAGGAAAAGCAGCCGGGCGGTGGTGGCGCACGCCTTTAATCCCAGCACTTGGGAGGCAGAGGCAGGCGGATCTCTGTGAGTTCGAGGCCAGCCTGGGCTACCAAGTGAGTTCCAGGAGAGGCACAAAGCTACACAGAGAAACCCTGTCTCGAAAAACCAAAAAAAAAAAAAAAAAAAAAAAAGAAGGAAAAGCAGCCGGGAATGGAGGTGGCGGTGGGGGTGGGGATGGGGGCTTGATCTGCTGGTTTTCACAGGTTCTCAGTCTTGGAGACTTTCCAAACTCTGGCAGGAGTTGGCTAGGTACCCTCCTTCCACTGTGTCCTTTCCCTGTGGACATCCCTGAGAGGTCACTCTCAAGTCAAAGATAAGCCAGCTAGACTCCCAGCTGAGGCATCAGGGCAGAGGGAAGGCAGGAGGGTCATTTGCAGTTCCTTTCCGAAGAGAGGGTATTTTCTGGAGTACTCAAGTTTGTCCTTGCCGGTCATCCGTACTTAGCGCCGGCAGTTTACATTGCTCTTCCTGTGCCCATCATCCCCTTCCAGAGTTTTTTTTTTTTTTTTTTTTTTGGTTTTTTGAGACAGGGTTTCTCTGTGTAGTTTTGCGCCTTTCCTGGAACTCGCTTTGTAGACCAGGCTGACCTCGAACTCACAGAGATCCGCCTGGCTCTGCCTCCCGAGTGCTGGGATTAAAGGCGTGCGCCACCACCGCCCGGCCTCTTCCAGAGTTTTTTACGTTTCAACTTATATGTCACTTTCTCCAAGAGGCCTTTAACTTTCCTAGCTGCGACAGTGTGTTGGTTAATTTGACTCCCCCCACAGGCACATTCAAATGGGATAATGAGAATGAAAGCACTTTATATAGCTATTCAAGGAGGGTATTGGGAAGCCACAGGAATGGCAAATACCAGGTCAATAGCAGGGGGGTCACTGCCACCCCAGGGCCCTAAGGGAATGCCAAGAGAGGGGCTGGCAGAGAGGTTCTGCCTCCCTCTCCTCCAGTCCCCCTCACTCTGGGAAACCTGCTGATGAAGGAAGGCAGCCCCCTGAAAGCAGAACAGCTAAGAGGGACAGAGAATGGAGGGGTGGGTGGAAGGGCCATGGAGACGGGAGACATGTTTGTTTATTAACTTTCCTTCCTATTCCTGCAGCTGAGACATCGTCTCTTTCTCAGCAAAGATGCTTGGCAATATCCGCTGAATAAATTACTTTGGTTGAAGCTAGCTAACGTCAGATTGAGAGCCGCCTGCAAGTGGCAATGCTTCTCAGGATCGACAAGGACGGAATGGAGTGGGGTGTGTTTGGCTGTTCCTTGTCATATCTCATTGGGATCTCTCTGGGGAGATGGCTCTTCTTTAGCTCTAGTGCCAATTAGAAAGACACTCTGAGTGCTTGTTGCTATTGCAAAGGACCCAAGGTGAATCCCCAGCATGCACATGGAGGCTCACATATGCCTGTAGCACCAGTTCCAGGGAATCTGATGCTGTCTTCCGGTCTTCCTTACCACCAGGCACGAACATGGTACACGTACATATAAGGAGGCAAAACACCTATACACATATAGTAAATGGAAAAAAAGAAAGAAAGAAAGGTACTCTGAGGAGTGACAGGTCACTGGGGGGCTGGAAGGAGGCACACACAGCTCAGAGCTGTGGGAAAGAGGCTCAGGCAAAGCAGACCCTACCATCTGATGCCTTCAAAGGAGTCCAGGGGTTCGTGGGGTGGCCTTAAGCCAAATGGAGGGAGTCAGGAGACTGAGCCACCAGCAGCATTCTGTGCAGCCCCCACTTATGCATCCCAAGAGCTGAAGGCAAGAAGAGAGGATTTTCCCAGGTGCCATAGAGACGGACACCTTCACCTCCTACTCAAGCAACATCCAAAGGTTCAAGTCCACCCTAAGGTTCAAGTCTGTCCATCCTAACCAGAGCTTGGCCGAGGACACAGGGAAAAGGGAGGGTGCTGAGACAGAAGTGGGAAGGGTTTGGGCCAAGGTTAGCCTGGTTCACACAGATGCCTGGGGTGTGTGATAGCTTCTCCCACTGAGGTCTGAAGTGGAAAGAGAAACAGACCTGTGATGATCCATACACACCATGCCCCCCCCCGCCCCCCCCCCCCCCATACTGCAGTGCTTTCCTGTCTAGTCTCTAACATGGTGGGACAATTCACGGTTACTTTTTCGTTTGTTGCTTCGTGGCGCTCGTGATGGAACCTAGGGTCTTGTGACCATCAGGCAAAGCACTCTGCCAACCCTGTGCCGTCCCCAGCTCTCATAATTCCGTCTTGACTGCGGCTCCTGTGCCGCGTCTGTCTGTCTTTCCCCGAGGGGAGGATTCAAGAACAAAGAGCTGCCCCGTGCTGAGGCAGCAGAGGACTGAGCGAGCGCTCATCCCCTTGGCCCTCCCCGCTTTATCTACAAGATGTGGCTCACACTATCTTGCTTGTCTGAGGGCAAAGCTCACACAGATGATCTCTTGAGGTCTCTCCTAGAGCCTCTTGAGATCTGTGATTTCCCCGGGGCTAATTTTGATTCTGCCTCCTCACTGCTGTGTGACTCTAGGTGTCTCTTCCTTTCTCCGAGGCCCCAGGCTCCTCACCTGCAAAAAGAGAAGTTTAGAGGGAGGTCGGACGTCCTTTTTGTTCCTAGCAAAATGGAACCAGAACGAACATCCGTGCTCACCACATGTCAAACCCCATTTCTCTATGAAAATAGCACGCGGGATAGGTGCTGAGATTCCTTCTGTGCAGATGAGGAGACCGCAGCACGGAAAGGAGGGGTAACTGGTTCAAAGTCAGACAGCCCATACATGGCAGAAAGGCAAACCGAGACTCCGTTATCGTACTGCTTTGCTTCCTGGCTGCAGTTCTACAGAAAAGAAACCACCTGGAACGTGGGGTTTCACCTCCTAACCGATTTCTCCAGGTGTTCACCCTCTCCAGTGTTAGGGAGCCAGTGCCCTCGGGGATGAGAGCTAAAGATTGGAGCGAGGCTGTGGAACAAGAGAAAAGAGATGGCATGCTGGATCAAGAGCTAAGGGACCACAAATATGGCCGAGCCATCAGGAAGTCCCCTAGGAGAAGAGCTCCCAGGACTTACAGTAAGAGAGCAGGCCTAGGGTCGGAGGGCCTGGCACTGGAGCTGTGTAGTGTTGGGATCACCCTGAACCCCCAGATTCTTCCAAGACAATCTGCAGAGGCTGCTCCAGGGGTGCTGGCATGCACAGTGGTGGTACCAAGCATGCGTTCACCTTACAAAGGACCAAGTGGGTGGGTGGAAGGACATGGAGCATGTGATGGAGAGAGCTGTGGGCAGCGTTTACTAGGTGTATTTACTAGCAAACTCTAGGCAGTGTTTACTAGATGTTCATTTGGACGTGGAGACAAGAATATGTGGACCTAGCCACATGTATTCCCTGCCCTCGGGGGTCTTCCACGAGTATACACACAGCACTCCCGCCAGGCCCAGGCCCCAGACCCAGTGAACAGCTCCAGCATCAAGTCACAGTGCCGTTTATTCAGCCACAGAATCATTACGGTCCCGACCTTCCCAGCTACTGGCTGCCATCGTCCATGATCGCTGTTTCCGGCTTGGCCTGTTCAGGACTCTGGGGACCTAGGAGGGTGGGGGTCCTCAGGGTCTGGTGTCCACAGTCTGCCAGGGCAGGCTCAGCTGCAGCCCCCCACACCCTTGATAAGGCTGGCGGCCTCAGGGATCTGGCGGAAGAGGTTACGAAGGGTGTCTAGCTCCTGGGTGAGCTGCTCCACGCGGCTGCGCAGACGCTCGTTTTCGGCCATGTACTCCAGCACCTTCTGCTGCGTCTCCATAATGCGCCGCTTGGCCTTGTCCCGGCTCTTGCGCACTGCAATGTTGTTGCGTTCCCGTCGCAGCCGGTACTCGAGGCTGTCTTTGTTCACGGCCTTCTTGCCCTTGTGGGAGGGCCCAGCTGGGGAGGGTGCCTTGAGAAGGGGGCTGCACGGAGGGGCGGCTGCAGCCACTGGGGCCTGGAGGGTAAGTCAGAAGGACAGAGAAGTGAGGGTCCACCAGGAGGGAGAGCAGAGGCTGAGCGGGAATCTCAGCAGCAAGGGCATACCTGGGGTCTCCAAGGGCTAGAGGGCTCCCAGGCAGGCAGCTCCCATCTCCCGCCTCCCAGTCATCACCCTGCCTCTGTGAAGGACCGCAACCCAGATGCACATTGTCCTTGGTCTGAAACCAAAGCTTGTTTGCTTGCTTTTTTTTCGAGACAGGGTTTCTCCGTTTAGTTTTGGTGCCTGTCCTGGATCTCACTCTGTAGACCAGGCTGGCCTCGAGCTCACAGAGATCTGCCTGCCTCTGCCTCCCCAGTGCTGGGATTAAAGGCGCGCACCACCACCGCCAGGCTCAAAGCTTTCTTTCATGCGCTCACATTCTCTGAGGACCCCTTCCTTTGGTTTGTCTGTTGTAAGTCTCCTGTTCTACAATTCTACAGCCAGCAGCATTTCCTCTTCCAGAAGCAGGCAGCAGAGAAACAAGAGAAGGGGTATAGTGGACAAGCAGAGAAGCTGGTCCAGCCCTAGATCAGGGCAGAGCAGCAACCACAAGGTCTTCAGGACACAAGTGGAGTTCGGAGAAGTGAATTCATAGAGTGGGGAAACACGGCCTTGAGGTGGGCCGTTTCCCCAGGAGCACCAAACACAGACTTGTTAGGTAAGCCCCGTAAATTCAACCACCTTGCTCCAACCCGGGGTGGACACAGGGAGAGCTGCCTTGGTCTTACCTTGAGGACGCGGAGGGGCTGGCCAGGTGCTGCCAGCGCCGGGGGAAGATGCACCGCTGTCTGCCCACAGTGTGCCACTTGGTACTGCAGGGGATTGTAGCCGCCTCGGCTGGTGCCCCGGCTGCCCTCTGGCCCACGAGGCTCCTCCTTCACGGCCACAGCCCTGGGGTCGTAGCTCCCCGGGTTACCGTAAATGCCAGACCCCAAAGCCTTCCTATCTGGGCCAAATGTATGTGAGGGATAAGCAAAGGGCCGAGGGTCAGCCGGCAGGTAGTGGGGGAACGAAGGGGTTCCTGGGCCCTTAAGGCTTCGGGTTTCAGGCGCTGGCTTCATGGCAAAGAGGTCAGAAAGGAGCTGCTCTTCCCCGGACTCGATGTAGGCAGAGAGGTCGATGGAGGCCTCATGCTCACACATGTCCCCCAGCTCCCCGGGCCCGGCTCGACCCCCTGAGAACTCGAGTGGCTGCTGGCCACCCCGAGGCGGCTCACACTCATAGTAGGTCCCGTGGGACATAGCCGGCCCGCCCCCTTGGCTCCCCGCCCCTGGGTCCTGTGCTGGGGCACTTCTTGGGATGCTCAGCTTGCCCTCTCTTGATCTCCCCCCGGCCCTAGAGAGTTGCCCTAGGTCTGACCTCTCTGGTCTTTTCTGTCACCCACTCCTACGTGGCTTCTCTCCTCCTCCTCCTCCTCCTCCTCCTCTGCTTCCCTTTCCTTCCGTAGTCAGTGAGTGCCTCTCCTTTCTTCCCTTTTCCCCTCTCTCCTTGGGGTGAGTCAGGGAGGGGCAGGGCACACCCCAGAGGGAGGGGTGCTTAGCAGTTAGGGCGCTCTTTGGTGAGGTCCCAGCCACAGTCCAGAAGTTGCTGTTTGGGAAAATGTCCCCTCTTGTCCTGTGAGCTCAAGGGACTCCAACCCCTTGGCCAGGGCAGCTCCTCTGAATGTCCATCTTCCTCCGACTTCCAAAGAGGTCTGTGCAGAGTAAGGCGCCAAGCCAGAACCAACAGAGAAAGCACTCCTCTAGTGCCAACTTGGTCTAAACTCCTCCCTTGAGACATCTTCCTCCCTGTCCCCCCAAGTTCTGAACTCCACCTACCCTGGGGTAAGTCAGTTCCTTGTGTAGCCCCACCTCCCACAACATTCTCTTGGGTGTTGGCCATCATTGTTGGAAGGGTTTGGGAAGTAGTAATAGGTTCTAGGACCAGGCCACCCCTGGCCTAGCACAGGGTAAGCTCGTGTGCTAGAGTTGAGCCAGGGTCTCACTATGTAGATCAGGCTGACCTTGAACCCACAGAGTTCTGCCTGACTTTGCCTCCAGAGTGCTGCTTTATTAAGGGTCTTTGGCTAGATCTTGGTACAGGGCTTGTGGCACATGTTTCCCATCCTGGCTACCTCTAGCAGCCTGCCACAGGCTGCCTGGACATAGCTGAGGTTTTCTGGTCAAGACATGGGCCCTGTACCTCAGGCCCAGGCAGGCCGCTGTCCCAGAACCAACAGACAGGATCCGCTGAGGCCCTAGCTGCTGAAAGAGGCTCAGGCTGACCCCACCCCACACTGGCTGGAGGCTCAGCCTCCAACTTCCTGTGCCCTGGGGTGCGTGCGGGCTCTGCAGCTCACTGTAGCTCGCTGCTCTCTTTCCTTCTACATGACTGTTTTCTGACCTCTAGTGTGTGTCTCTCGGGTCCACTTCCTCTTGTAAGCTAAAGAAGTCTTCTCTCTTGTCCTCACCTCTTCCTGGGGCTGTTTCTGGGTCCAGAGGAGAAGTTCATAGCGGCCTGACTACACTTTTTTTTTTTTTTTTTTCGAGACAGGGTTTCTCTGTGTAGCTTTGCGCCTTTCCTGGAACTCACTTGGTAGCCCAGGCTGGCCTCGAACTCACAGAGATCCGCCTGGCTCTGCCTCCCGAGTGCTGGGATTAAAGGCGTGCGCCACCACCGCCCGACCAAACACTGTATCTTTGATAGAACCCTCCATCCCATCCCCTCTAATGCCACAATTTGCCCCACATGCTCTGAGCACAGCCTGAAGTATGGCCAAATACGCTTCCTCCAAAAGCCCTGGCCAAGCAAGGGGATAGCCACCCGTATCCTAGACGCAGAGCACCGGAAGTAGGGGGGTAATTTCTGCTCTTCATTCTACAAGTTCCCGCCAAATAGGTACCAAAGCCAAGAGGTTTCAGTTTGGCGACCTGTCGCTTTTAGCCACTAGGTGACGATATTGGTTCTTAAATTCTATACTCTCGGTACTGCAATGGTTTGGAACCAGCTGCACAGCAGGGGGCAGCCTTTTTCAACCCTGACACCAGCCCTGACCGCTCAGCCCTGGAAAGCAGGAAGAGGAAGTTTAGGATTGGGGATTCGCAGTCTCAGGTTGCAGACAGGGTGGGAAGGCTAGGGGTTTGGTGCCCGGACCTGTCTCAAAGAAAAATTCTGTCCCCTCCTTGACTGTGGAATTACGATAATGGGTGGGCCTTGTGTCATCCGGCAACTTAATGCTTTTTTTTTTTTCAATCGATGAAACATGCACTTTTTCACGCTGACCGTTTTGCTATGAGCAAAGAAGTGGAGGCAAAGCAGTATTTTTATCCTAATTGTATCGACAAGGAAAATAGGGAGGAGAGGCTGAGCTGTACAAGAGCACCAGAGGACGTCTTGTTGACCTCTGAAAGGGCTGCAAGCTTGTTCTTGAAACGGCCCTGGGGACGGAGGGATGGAGTTGGTGTTACCGTGTGACTCAGGGAATCTCCTTCCGCCTAGCTGGCTGCCAGGAGTGAGGGGAGAGCTTCAGCGAAGCGCCGAAGTCCCTGCGGGAGGTGTCCAGATAAAGCCAGCAGGAAATGAGGAGGCCTGCAGCTCGCGTCCCAGTGGAATAAGCGGTGCAGGTGTCTGGACCGCTGCCAGCAGGCTGATATTAGCGTTTCCTAGTAACTGAGGCATAAGTACTGGGGGTCTAGATAGGGCTGCAGGAGAGGGGGCTGGGAAAGGAAGGAGCGAGGTGGGAAGGCAGTGCTACCTAGAGTCTGGGAGGTCCAGCGCGGGGGAGGGGGCTTTCCAGCTCAGCGGGGTCGCTTTCCTGTTGCCACCGCGGTTGCTACCTGTTTGCATTAACTAAAACAATGGGTGTATATTATCTCAGTGACTTGGGACAGGCGGCTCTCCAGGATTGCCTCCAAGGCTTCCCCGAAGGGCAGTTAGGGCTAAGCATAACTATGAAGCCTAAGAGGAAAATGGGCTCAAATCTGGTCTCCGTCACTCACCGGCTCTCTGACCCTGGTCAAGCTACTTGATCGTACGGTGAAATGGCGGTAGTAATGCCTGCCTCACAAGATCGTTTAAACTTTGAAAAATGTTGATGTGTGTAAAGCAACTGACTGAGTGAACGCTGTCTCCTTCCCCTTTCCTGACCTCTCCGCTGCTTTTACTCCTGTCCCTAGAGCACACACTCCTGCTGCCTTGGAGGTTACATTGACAAGCATTTTAAAAATCTGGGTTTTAAATAACAGAAAACCCATGCGGGTGTGGTGGTGCATGCTTCTAATTCTAGCACTTGGATAGGCAGAAGCAGGTTGATCTCTATGAATTTCAGGCCAGTCCAGGCTACGTAGAGAGAAAACCCTGTCTCAAAAAGCCCAAGCAACACCGGGCAAAGCTACACAGAGAAACCCTGTCTCGAAAAACAAACAAATAAACAAAAAGCCCAAACAACAACAATAACAAAACCGAATAAATTTGTATTTCTTTAGTTTATTATTTATTTATTATTATTTTCTTTTTGGGGGAGAGGGTTGAGATAGGGTTTTGCTGTGTAGCCTTAGCTGTCTTGGAGCTCACTCTGTAGAACAGGCTAGCTAGCCTTGAACTAACAGTGATCCACCTGCCTCTGCCTCCAGAGTACTGGAATTAAAGGAGTGTGCCACCACTGCCCAGTTACATTTGTTTATTTTTAAATGTTTGCTTTTGTTTCCCTTTTGTTTTTCTTTTTTAAAAAAAAAAATTATTTATTATGTATAGTTTTCCATCTGCACATATCCCTGCAGGCCAGAAGAGGGCACCAGATCTCATTACAGATGGTTGTGAGCCACCATGTGGTTACTGGGAATTGAACTCAGGACCTTTGGAAGAGCAAGCAGTGCTCTTAACCTCTGAGCCATATCTCCAGCCCTCCCTTTTGTTTTTCATTTTATTTTATGTGTATGTGTTTTTTGCCAACATATATGTTTACACACTTCATGTATACAGTGCCTGTGGAGGCCAGAAGAAGGCGGTGGATCCTTAGGACTGAAGTTACAGAGGGTTGTGAACTGCCACGTGGGTGCTGGAAATCAAACCCCGGTCCATAAAGAGCATCCAATGCTCTCTTTAATTTTTTTTAAAATTAATTTATTTATCATGTATACAGTGTTCTGCCTGCATGTATGCCTACATGCCAGAAGAGGGCACCAGATCTCATTATAGATGGTTGGGAGCCACCTTGTGGTTGCTGGGAATTGAACTCAGGACCTCTGGAAGAGCAGCCAGTGCTCTTAACCTCTGAGCCATCTCTCCAGCTCCCTCTTTAAATTTTAATAAATATTTTAATTTAAATTTAAAACTTTAAACTTTTATTTTTTATTTATTGTATTTTTTAAAATTTTTTGAAATTTAAGGCATTTTTGAAAAAAGTTAATGTGCCATCTCAAGTTTTTGTCATAACTCAAAGCAGTATCTATTAATATAATTAGTATTTTTTTATTTTTACAAACCAGTTACTGTAACTGCATTTGTCAAGATAATATCAGAGGCAGACGACATATAAGCCACATAGACAACATTTCCTTTCAAAACAGGTATACACTTGGCATTGCCTGCCTACAGGTCCACCATCTAGATGGAGGTGGTCCGTGGTGTGCCAGTGTGCTACGTACCTCCTGTAAAACTATGTAAGGATAATGAGTTGAGATGGTACTACACTGGTGGATAATGAGACTCCCCCCCTCATTTTTGTGAGACGGGGTTTCTCTTTGTAGCCCTAGCTGTCTTGGAACTTACTCTGTAGACCAGGCTGACCTTGAACTCACAGAGACTCAACTGCCTCTGCCTTCCGAGTGCTGGGATTAAAGACGTGTGCCACCACTACCTGGCTTACATCTCTACTAAAAAAATTTTTTTGAGATTATAATGATATCATTTCCCTCCTTCCCCTCTCTCTCTCCTACCTTTCCCATACACCCTTCTCTTGTTCTCATTCAAATTCATGGCCTCTTTTTCCTTAATTATTGATCTATATATTCCTAAATGCATGACTGCGACCTACTCAGTCTGTATAATGTTGTTGGTGTGTACGTATTTTCAGGGCTGACCATTTGATATTAGATAACTATTGGTGTGCTCTTCCCTACGGAAGACTGTTTCTCCAGTTCTCAGCATTCCCGAGTTGCCTATAGTTCTTTGTCTAGGGTTGCAGCTGCATGAGCTCCCCCAAAACGTTAACATGTCTGTTGGTGTCCTCATTGTTCAGGTCATGTTTAGGCAGCCATGTTGGTGAGGCATTTCTAGGAGATACAATCTCACAGCAAACTTCCTGGATCTCTGGCTCTTGCAGTCTTTTCTGCCTCACTCTTCCACAGTGACCCCTGAATTTTAGGTGCAGGAATTATACTGTAGATGCATCAGTTGGGAGTGGGCTCCAGAAGTCCTCATTTTGATTGGTTGTGGTTTTCTGGAATGTGTTATAAAGAGAAATTTCCTTGGTGGAGAGTGAGGTATAGGGAGACAAATATTTAGAAGGCAGTTAGGGATTGTGCTGGTTTCGTCAAGTGGTGGTTGTAGGTTCTCCCAAGATCCAGGTAGCTGGCTAGGTTTCCAGTACCAGGAATGATTTCTCTCTTGCTGAGTGGGAATTATTTTTTCTTTCTAGATTTTTAAATTTGATCTTAGGTGTCTAGGTATTTCACCTGCATGCATGTTTGTGTACTATGTGTTTGCCTGGTGCTCGTGAAGGTCAGAAGAGGGGGTCTGATCCCTTGGAACTGGAGTTAGGGATGATTGAACCACCATGTGGGTGCTGGGAACTGAACCTAGGTCCTCTGCCAGAGCAAGTGCTCTACCATGGAGGCATCTCTCCTGGCCCACATTTATTTCAGAGGACAACTTGTGGGAGTCAGTTCTCTCCTTCAGTCCTGTGAATCTCAGGGAGTAAACGTCAACTGCCAGGCTTGGTGACAAGGACCTTTATCGCTGGAGTCATCTCACTGGCTCTTGTTTTAAAAAAAAAAAAAAAAACAGGGCCTGGAGAGATGGCTCAGAAGTTAAGAGCACTGCTTACTCTTCCAAAGGTCCTGAGTTCAATTCCCAGCAATCACATGGTGGCTCACAACCCTCTGTAATGAAATCTGGCGCCCTCTTCTGGCCTGCAGGGATATGTGCAGACAGAACACTGTATACATAATAAATAAATTAAATTCTTTAAAAACAAAAAAACAAAAAAAACAGGATCTCGGGCTGGAGAGATGGCTCAGAGGTTAAGAGTACTAGCTGCCCTTCCAGAGGTCCTGAGTTCAATTCCCAGCAACCACATGGTGACTCACAACCATCTATAGTAAGATCTAGTGCCCTCTTCTGGCCTGCAGGTAGAATACTGTATACATAATAAATAAAAATCTTAAAACAAAACAAAACAGGATCTCATGTAGCCTAGGCTGGCCCCAAATTCACTATGTAGCTGAAAATGACTTAGAACTCATTGGGCCTCCTGCCTCTCTCTTCCAAGCGGGATTA